CCCCCCCCCCCCCCCCCCCGCCACCCCCACTCCCTGCCCGGTACTATGTCAAGTTGCCTCGACATTTCTCTAGTACTCAATGATACTCCTGGGTGGAGAGAAGCACTACAAAAGCTCACCACAATGACCTTGGCCAGCATTCTGATCCCAACATCTCAATCCAGAATATATTACAGTGACCATTAGCTCAGTGCAGCTCCCAAATGGCTACCAAATGCCCTTACAATTTTACTGTTTCTTTTCTTAGGCTACTCAACCTGTTCAAGAGTACATGAACATGCCATTAGATGCTCGACGGGTACAGCATGAAACTGCCCGATATCTTCCACAGCCTCTGTATATCCTGTATGTCCAGGCTTCAGCGTACAATGAGGCATGCGATCCTCATTTGGAAGTCAAGATTCTGGGGGACTTGGATATTGCTAAGGCTGCCATGGAGTCGAAATCTGCTGTAACAGGTTTGTGTTCATCCTGGGAAACAGGTGCTGTTTGAAAGATACTAAAATTGCTTTATTTTTGGCCTGATTTTGCAGAGTAAATGATGTTTTTTTAAAAATCCTTTGCAGATATTGACAGTGATTCAGATCAGGAAAACACTGAGGGACACAAAAGGGTGAGTAACAGATCAAACAGGAAAGACTGTGTCTGACCACATTTCTAAATACCAAGAAGAGAGTAGAAAATATGATGTGTAGCAGAGTATTTTTGTTGAAGTTTAAGGTGTTTGGAAATGTGAAACACTTTCATGAGTGTTTGATATATCTTCTCAATCAAAACTAAAACTAAGGGGTAATCATAGAAATAAAATCATCCAAAGCTATGCTAATTTATTAAGATCAGATATCCAAACACTGTCACAGTCATGATTTTCGTTGGTTAAACTTGATGAATATTATTGAGTTTGAGAAGAATATGTCACAACTGAATTCACATTTATTTGGTTTTGCTATAAATTGTGCTCATTAAGAACCTCAACATTGACTCGATACTTGGAAAATAAACTTAATACATGATGGTAGGAGGTAGCATGTTTGTTGCTGCATGGCAATATGAAAACGTTTGGTGTTTTTGTCTCAGTCAAAACATAGGCGAAAAAAGGAAGAAGCTCGGTTGGAGGAGAAAAGAAAATTGCTGCTCAAGAAACATCCACTTCAAATCCTGTTACAAGTGAAATGTAAAGGTTAGTTTTACCTTGAAAACCTAATCTGTTGTATTATTGTATTATCTGATCTGATCAGAATAGACCACTGCAACGATATCAGTCCAAATCAACAATCTTTCTTATTTTTCGTAAACTACTTCCATAGATCATCAATAAATATTTATCATTCTAAATGTAGTAAATATGAAGCCTGCAAACACAGATGAATTCTCAGCCTTAAAGACAAAAGATGGAAATCTGTCTGTTTTTGCAGGCTAGCAAATATGCAGAGGTTAATCAGAATCTGTTGCAAACTCATGGAAATAGAGGACCCCAAACTTGCCTATTTTTACCAATTTATATTTGTCCAAGGGGCAAACATTTGTTGGATGACTATTTTGTGGTCCAATATCTCCAGCAGATTCTTAGGAAACCTAATATATTTACTAAATTCGGCACAATAAATCAAGTTGTGAGGCTTATTTTTTGTTTGAATGAAAAAAAAAGTAGAAAACGTGACATTGTCAATGTGGTCCATTAAGCCCAGGAAACCACTCGTAAAAGCGGATAAATGATAATCTACAGATGTGAGTCACAAAAACATTTATGTATTGTTTTCCCTTAAATTTGGCTCCAAGTTTCCTACTCTAGGTCTGGTTGCTTTACCTCAAGAAATGCCACATTCATCCCCAGTTGTCCTCAATGCATACAATCATGTACTTTTGTTCCATGTTTTCTGAACTTGTCTAATAACCTTTTGCAAGAATAAAAATGCTAAATTCCCAAGTGATGTTCTGAGCTAATTTTGATACAGTACCTGGCACTTTGATTTATACTCCTTCAGTTGAAATTCTGACCAGTAAGGAAAACGTTAAAAAATGCCATAGGAAGTACATTTATTTAACTTTGCTCTAAAGGTTTAAAACTTTCATGTTTTCTCTTTTAGACAAAGCAACAGTTGATTTGTTGTTTTCCTTTCTGCCAACGTTCAACACCGTTGTGGTATCGCCATCATTGTCTTTAAATGAAGCAGTACCAGGACCAGTGTTAGCAAACAGGTACATAGTTTTGCGAACGGGTAAACAGGCATCTTGACACCTCGTAGTGTTCTGATATGTACAGGTGTGTGTGTGGACTAGGAATGCTGACACAATAAATACATGTAGATCAATTTCAAGCCTCTCTAAGCAGTGATGATTAAATAATGAAAATCTGCATTTAACAAACAAACAAGTGATAAAATTTGCTTTGGTTTTGCATTACAACGCTAAGTGCTTGGCTTATAAAATTTGTAGCACTTTGTCATCCAACCAGAAGTAAAACCAAAACCAATCTTGACTTAGTTGCAAGTATTTTCCTGTTCTTTGCATCAGATACACTTACATGTGTTTGCTTTGAGTTTTGATTGGTTCACTAGATTGTGTGTGTAATTTGCGATTAGCCAGAGTGATCACTTTGGTTTTGGTTTTATGACACTCAATTTAAAATTGCTTTATGTCATTGTTGTTTGTTTGTGTTCTAGTGCCCTTCTCTCTCCTGAGTCATTGTTAACCAATCTGTTTCCTGATGACGACGGTGGCAAGGCACCAAACCCATCCAGTCTCTATCAACTTGCTAAAGTTGGGTAAGGAGAAATTTGATTCCATTGATAATTTTGTTTTGTTTTTGTCTTCTGCTAACCCTGTGTGTTCAATGTAACATAATCAAATGATATCCTATAGAAATTTAATGCAAGCAAACTTAGTTCAATGGTTCATTTGGTCTGAAAAAGCTAAATTAACTCATTTGGAAATAAAAAGTGTGATTCAATTTTGTATACAGTCGAACCTCCCATAAGCAATCACCCAAAATGTCAAGCCTGGTCGCTTATGAGAGCTAAGACCATACGGGGCCAAAATTTTGCCCCATTAGCATATGTTAACTGTAGAGACTTACCCCATGTTTTAAATGCTTTATTGATGTCAAAAGTCGATTTCGAGAAAAAAATACTGTGCTTATCATTGAGAAATGTCCGTCTCTTGTACTACCCAGTATTGCGCTAATGTTACAACAACTTATTATCCAATTTCTACTCTATTATCTGTCAAGAGGTTGCTTATGAGAGGTCAAAAACAAAAGAAAATTTCAAACTATTAGCTCTAAAAGTGGTCGCAGCCGCTTACGAGAGGTGGTCACTTCAAGTGGTTCTAAATATAGTGATTTGACTTGGAAACTTTTGGTATTTTGGAAAACTGGTTGCTGAGGAGAGGTAGTTGCTCATGAGAGGTGGTC